ATATATATATAAGAGTTTGTAGAATTAAATTGAAGGAATATTTCGAAGGTTCTTTATAGCAATCGAAACGAATCTAAATTATCTCGCGGAACGAATCGTTAAGCTATACGCTTTTGGTATGAAAGTACCGTGCGAATACATTAATTACTGCACATACATATACCAGTTACCGGCACGCAATCCACGTTCAAACGGTATTACATTGATTTTTATCTTTGCTTATCATATTAAAAAAAAAGGAGATAAAAAAAGAGAAAAAGCAAAATATTTCTCACCTAACGGAATATAAAACCGTTCTAAATATATCATCTTATCTATTTAAATGCTGTAATCGTGTTACATCGAAATAAGTGTAGGTAAATCATGATCCCGCTCGTTGAACGATATGCAAGAATTTCAAAAGAAAATTTGGAAAAGATTGGTTGAAATGACAAAAGGGAGGAGAGGGTGGAATTCCTAAAATGGGCGGTTGTCCTTTAAAAAGATTAGGATACGTCGGTTCGTATAGAGAGAAAGAGAGAGAGGGAGAAGATCGAGTTATTTCGTTCGAGGGACGAGTTGACACAGAAGGTACATCACTCGTCATCCAATTATACGATTTAGTTTAAGAGCATATACGAGGCGCAAGGAGGAAGTCAGCGTGCGTGTGCCAAGTGGATAATGATACGTGCTAGTAGTAGCAAAATACAAGTCCCAAGAGTTTACCGTTTGTCTGGCGGCAAACTTTAATACCTATAGAGATTAATAATTGACATTTCTTATTAGAATTCTTTTCATTCTAACCTAAGTTTATAAAAGATCATTATCTCTGTTTACCCTTTTAAACAAATTTTGGTAATTACGTATTAACGCCATCACCAATGCGCTAATCTACACATTAAATTGTTGCGACAAATCATAGAATAACAAAACTTGATTTAAAATCAAAACACTTTGAAAATTCAAAAGATTTTATTTACAAAAAGTAGTCACACACAATTGGATATCGGTGGAAAATGATCGGGCCGATATAGAATTTAACATAAATTCAAAACAGTCTCTAACCCTGACGAAACCCTGACGAAACCCTGACAGTTGCTGTGTGCAAACAACAAGGTTGTTTTGTGCGAACAACAAGATTGCTCTTTATTGGCGCATTAGCGGAATTTTTGTTGCGGTGGCGTTAATACCTAAGTACCCAAATTTTTTAAAAGGTTTGACTTATTTCTTTTTTTTTGAAAGAACAATATTTACTTGATATATATCATATGGGAGATAAGTCTCGTTCGTTTCCCCTTATAAAATACGCACGAACTATTGACAGAAGCAATGAGAATAGTGATGATGGTGGTGTAGTGGTAGTGGTGTGATGGTGTTTCGTGTTCGGTAAGGGTATACCACAATGATGAAATTTGATCCGATCGTAACATGGACGAGGAACACGTCCGCGTTCCTTTCGGCATCGGATTACATCCGACGAGGATTTTCGAGTCGCCCCTATACAGATCTCGAGTGCTTCTTCCTCCAAGAAATTCGATTATCGTCTAACCTATCGAAACTATAAAAGCGATCCTGCTTTTCCTCTAACCCCATACTTTCAATATTCTTTTTAAGTAATTGTTTCGAAAATTCATTCATCAGTATAATCGTGAAGAGTATAGCGTTTAGTTGATGGAAGAAGGAAAGGGAAGATAATACAATCTTATTATTATTAAAATTCAATTTGTTTATTCTTTCGAAATATTTTTTCTTTCGTTTGTTTGTTCTTTTTGGATGTTTTTTTTTTAATAAACACAGTGGTACTTACGTATTAACGCCATTGCAGCAAAAATTTCGCTAATGCGCTAATAAAGAGCAACCTTGTTGTTTGCACACAGCAACCGTCAAGGTTACGTCAGGATTTCGTCAGGGTTTCGTCAGGGTTAGAGACTGTTTTGAATCTATATTAAATTCTATATCGGCCCGATTATTTTCCACCGAAATCCAATTGACTACTTTTTATAAATAAAATTTGTAGTATTTTGAAAGTGTTTTGATTTTAAATAAAGTTTTTTATCCTATGATTTGTTGCAACAATTTAAAGTGTAGATTAGCGCATTGGCGGCATTTTTGCTGCGGTTGCGTTAATACGTAAGTATCAAACACATTTTTTTTGTGTTTTTTTTTTTATAAGATTCAATAAATTTGTTCTCCCACGTGACAAGTCACATATCACCGATCATTGCTACAACAACAATTGGTTAATTGAAAATGATCATATGTCAACTCGAACGCACGCTTCTATTTCATACCCTTTAATCCTTACGATTAAATTATCCAATGTTTATGACACATTCTTGTTTTCTAAGTTTCAAATTAATATAATCATTTATCTCTTTTCACATGACTCATTTTTTTTTTCTTTACAACTCGATAGTGTTATATTGTTATAATAAGAATCAAATTGTTGTAATTATTCTTAGTAGAAAATATATTTTTTTTCTTTTTTTATATGATAACAAAATTTAAATGGGAATTTCAAATTCAGCATAATTATAAAACACTTGGCAACTCTAGCATAAGTAATGGTACGATTTTCGTTATGGTCCATATGTGGTATTGCACATTTTAAATGCTTTTCAAGTAAGCATAAATTTCTCAAATTAAAATTACACAAAAGTTTGCTTTTTTTKTATTATTATTATCAGCAAGTATTTAACTGACATTTTCATTTATATATATATAAGAAGATAATTATAAAAATGATGTGGTTTGAGTTAAAAAAAAAAAAGTTTCAAACAATCCAATACATCATCGGTGTAATGACTCAACGTGCGAAATGATTCTGATATGATGACAGGTATTATTAATTATATTTCATTGATGATTCATTCCTACGTTTCTGTAGAATATTTTCTCCAGAAATGAGGAAAGAAAAAAAAAATTGTCCTTGGCATTCAGATGGTCTTGTTCACCGTATATAATATACCATGGTTTTATAATGAAATAACGCCCAGACTCAGGATGAATAATCGAAATTTAACTGTGACAATAGCAAGTTATGAAATGATAATATATCAAACGAATATTACAATTTGAAATAATATAAATGATAATATGAATATGATAGTTCCTCTTTAAGAACATTAATCACTGGTTTCACTTGAATTATTAGATCGAGTCATAAGTTACTTCCAACGCGGTTATGTAGAATCTATTTTTCGTATTTACCTATTATAAGTGACCGAAAGTCAGTCGAAAATCTGTTTTTTTCGATATCACTGTATAGATGAGGATTCAGTTAGTCTTCTGTCAACTTTTTGAAGTAAAAACTTCTTTAGAATGGGTGTGATTTGAAAAAATGTAACGCAGCGGTGGGAGGCAATGAAACGGCCGTGATACTAAATAAGAAGAGAATACTATTATCCTACACCAAATATTTTGTATTCGTCTCATTCTCTCGAAACTAAGTTTTTGAAGATTTCACTTCTAACACGTGTGATCTGCACACATGTTTCTTTATATAGTCAATGTTATATTTAACCGTTTTTCTTAACCACTGAAATTGGATAGTAAAAAGTGCATATTCGATATGTAATGCTTTAAGAATTGAAACAAGGCAATAGCACTAAAGTGGCGGCTGAAAAAATATACAGCGTATACAGTGCAGGACTGATAACTGATAGGGCAGTCCGAAATTGGTTTGTAAAATTCCGTTCTGGAGATCCAATCTTAAAAGATGAACCAAGTGCAGAACGTATTTTCGACTTTGATGAACCTTTTAAAGGTAATATTGGAGCAAAATTCAATTAGATATGTTCAACAATTGCAAAGAGTTCCAAAAAAAAAAATCCCATGAAAGGTGTCTTGCACTTATCAGTCGCAGAAACGCCATTCTTTGTCTCATAAAAAATGGAAATTATTTATGACTCGACCTAAATAA